CATCTAATTAAATATCCATATTATATATATATATATATAACTTACTTACGACACCAGTTACGATATTAAAAAAAAAAAAAAACAGAGACGGTAAATCATTAATATGGAAAATTTTATAAAATCTACACTTATGCACTTTTTTGTCTAAAGAATAAGTGTTATTCAGATGAAAAGGATTACAAATCACAATTCCCTTTCTTTAAATCACTGTGTACCTTCTACATTAACCTATCTCAATCTAGGTTTTTTAGTCATATAAGTTATTGAGTCTCATTGGCTACAAGTTCGGTTACCGTCTTATTGCTTTTACATGAAAAATAATTAAAATTTCTAAGTAAAAACATTTTAAAATTAAATATTAAATATCGTGATTTCTTTTTTGAAAGAGAGGGAGGTGAGAGAAACTCTTTATGACACTGAGCATTTTATGATTCTAATTAAAAAAAAACGTATATTTAAAAATTATATTGCATAACTAACGTTTGTTTATTTTACGAATAAGCCACATTGGACTATTTCCTGGGGAATCGAATCCTGTATTTTAGAGTTGTATGTTTGTAAACTTACCACTCCCACCGAGGGACCTTACTTTGATATCAATTACAATAGCTATAAAAACAGAGGCAGAGTAGTTATTATTTGTTACAGAGGACAAAGACACAAAAGTAAGTAGAATAAAACTTTTTCAAGAGTTTTATGAACTATGTACTTATGTCAAAAATGCATTGTAACAGATTAACAGAATGTGCATGGATTCAGTCCAATGAACCAACCTTATATTGGAGAAGGAATGTTGAATATAATACCGAATTTACTAAGTGTATTTACATGATATGTGGCAAGCTTTTAGTGATAAGTACAAATGGGTTGTACATAAAAATACAGCATTATTACAAAAGTACTTGTATTCAAGATATGTTTGTGAATTGCCAACATCAGTCCGACTCAGACTCTGAGACGTCAGAGTGCGTGATGTTCATGTGAAGAATAAAAATACTTTTGCCTATCATAAAGTTTACGTGTAGCACTTGCATACAGAAGACTTTATAAAATATTGTTTTTGTATTGTTTTGCCGTTGTTTAAAGAAATTTTTCCAATTTTAAAGTTTGTGGCTTCTTGTTTTCATCAACGTATATATTACTTAACTTTATTTTCTTTAGTTGGGAAATGTTAGAGACTGGTAAATTATGCAAATAGTATTTAAATAGTACATCTATTGACTAAATTTTAATTTCTATACTCAAATAACATAAAATCTCAGAAATGAGTCTCTTTTCAAATGTTAAGAAATAAATAAAACAAATGGTCCAGAAAATTAAAGAGGTCGCCATTTCTATCCACGTAGTTGATCGAAGCTTTCCTACGCGATTTGACATTGACCGGCGCTTTCAGCTTGGCACACCTGTGGCGTGGAAACTTAGAATAGTATTAGTATTTTAGCGTGTAATTTTGGAAGCGGAAATTTTAAACAGTTACTGGACAAAAATATTCTCACTATGATATCTGTCATTCCTTTGATACTTGTATACTTTGGCTGCTGTAGCAACGTTGTTTTTTTAGAACTTCTTACGAGGTAACATTTAAATTTTTAGTGTTTCTGTCACCCTATCACTGTTAGTATTACTTGAATTAGTAATAATATCAAGAGTTTATTGGACACAAACAATTAGATTTATCCACACAATTCAGTGGAGTAATACACTTTCACTAAGAAAAGCATTTTACTTTAATTTAGATTACACCATTGTTAGTTAAACGTTTAAATTTCAAGTTTTCAATAAAAAAATATTTTAAAACTATAAACTTTGTTTCTATATACAAATACTCCAAACAAGTTATGTCAAAATATTTACTACATCCAATTTATTAAATACAATAGAATTTGTTCAACATTACAATATTTTGTGGATAGAGCTTGTACACTTATTTGCATTTTGAACACCAGATTATTTTAATTTTGTGGGAAGTGCAACTATGTCTTTCTAATAGTTATGGATTTAAAATTTTATGGAACATCACAGCTTTTTCAAAACATTGACTTCTTGGCTTTTTAAGAAATTGTTTAAGGTATTAAGAAACAATAGTATGACAACTATCTTTAAGCTATTTTATAGTTAATACAAGTTCCCTGTATAGTTTAACATTATAAAGTTAGATAAGTAACACTAGTTTTTGATAATTACTTTAACTGTTGTATTTGCTATCATTGTTAATGCTTATTCTAAGTCTTACCAGTATTATTATTATTGTGAGTTTTCTCAAACCTTATTGGATTTACTTTTTGCTTAGTAATTAGGATTTAATTTGTTACTTCTTGTTGCCTACTTCATGTGTGTGATTTACAGTTGGATTAGTTGTTTTAGACATAAATCATAGTATGTTAAGTGTATTAGTTTTTATGGTTCTGTTAATAAATATGTTATTTATATTTTATCTTCAGAAACAAGTTCAAATCAACTCTAAAAATAAAGAGTTACATGTCATAATAAATTATCTGAGATGTCAGGTTACTCTAAAGTTACACTGTCAGAGTTGTTTAAAAGATTTTCATTGGTCACAAGCCACTGTTATGGAGGGTTATTTAAAGCTTTGGAACATTAAATGTGGTATAGTACGTGGACCTAGTGTTTCATTAAATGTGGTATAGTACACAGATGTAGTGTTTCATTAAATGTGGT